ACCCTCCCGCTTTAACATTGTGTACAATTTGTATCCCACGCTCACGCGTTTAGTCACTACGCGAGACATTGATTTATCCTGAATTTGATACCCAAAACAAAGAAAACTAAAAATGATCCTCGCTAGAGTCTAACACGGTGATTTGTAAATCTATTTTTATGACGAATTATCAAATTAATCATATTAACACAAATAATGTGCACCGAAAGGAAAGAAAAATAATGAAAAAAAAATCAGCACATACTGTAAAATGACTAATTTTCACTGGGTTTAAATTTCACTGATTTACCATTTCAGGCATATTCAGTGGGTTTTAAATTCACGGTTTCGTCATTTAGATAATGTGTTCTATGCTAAATTTTACATATTCACTGGGTTTTAATTTAGCGCATTTTCCAGTCAGCGAAATAAGCTAAATTAAAACCCAGTGAATAATTACCCCCTTTACAGTATGTTACATCTGTAACAATATGTTACGGGAAGAAACCATACAAACACATGGTTAACATTTTGTGCCAAGTAGATCAAAGGAAAACACCTTATATGCTATTGTGCAATCAATATATTCCAGTCGGTGAAGTAGCATCTAGCTCCGAAACCTCAGTGTATAGTAACCCTGAGACAGGGCTGCAACTTAAACTGAAACTATCAAAACCTCGGTAGGGATGGACCAATAATTGTTTAGGGGTAACTAAGATTAACTATTCAGATCCGTATCACATTTTTTTGTTTTTTTTTCTATTATTTGTCTCTGCAATAATCACTGATTATATGCCAGCTTCCTTGCACATCAGAAATGATGGACATGATAATTTGTAATTGGTATGATGAAGTGCATGCCACCCAGTGTTGGAACGCATCTGGCGGTCTGTGTTCATAATATATAATTTATATTTATTTAAGCAGTGTATTTTCCCAATGCTCTAATTCCAAACAGTTTCTATTTCGATGTTATTAGTCAATATAAATGAGTTCAAAATGACATCATCAGGATTTCTCTGGGCAGTATTTTCAAACCCTGGGGATTTCGGCGCTTAGCTCGAGTCATTAGGTATTCACTTACTAGTCTATTCACACACCAATCTCACTGGAAACTGATATCATAAAATCCCCTGACAGTTTGCGCTAATTTGTTACAGAATTTGACAGATCTTATTAACATCGCATTACATGTATAATAGCTAAAAAAGCCGAGTGTCGCACTAAGCATGCGACACTTTGAAATAATGCCCCCTAACTCATTCTTTTAAAGTTTCATTCAAACATTACAAATATGTATTCCTGGCCAACATACAAACCAAACATTGTTGATACTGTAGCCGAGTAATTTGAAATTAACTGCAGAATATGAAGTTAAACTCAAGAACAATTGACACTCACTAAGTTAGGGGTCTTTGTTTGGCCTGGAAGGTAAGAGTAACATTGTAAGAAAGTTTATCCATGGACGTACAAGTGAACGCATGGAGGTAAACGTTAGTTCGCCATGGTTATCTAAGGTGCAAGAACCTGCAGAACATGAAATGAAATATGTTCAAATGTGTTTGTATATACTTTTAATTTTTCATATGATTTATTTTCTTACAAAATATATTTTATGTTTCAGCCTGTTCTGCACATATTTAATTTGCAAATGATGCAATTCCTACTAGGTAGCATTTTTCCAGTAGCATTTTTTGATTCTATTTAGAAGCGCATTGTTGCAATTCACAGTGAAATGTGCAATGTGACTTGGGCGACTAAATTAATTGTCAGGGGTTCAATCAACTCACCGTTCGCATCTTCATATCCCCAGTCTGCAAACAAACAAAAAAACAGCATTAGTAGGGAATTGTAATTGACCACTTAGTTTTTGGGGGCGCAGTGGGGATCAAAATCAACACTACCAAGGATCTGTAGTGCTGAAACTCGACACGCTTTTATAAATTATAAATTTCACACAAATTAACTCATCAATCGCGTAACGTAATTGGCTAAGGTAAACTCCGCTCAAATGCGCATTGTTTCTTTGTTCAAAAGTAACTACCTATGCCCCCAGGGCTCACACGTCAACTATTCGTATATCGTATTTTAGGTGCCAGTGTGAAAGTCCAAGTTGAATTCAGAACATTCACCGACACGTTTTAGTTTGAAGGGAGAAGATATATGACCCACACTATTGCGAACATCCCCAGGGGATGCACTACATAGCTCAAGTTACTAAATCACAATTCGTGTGTATCACCATAGACCTTAGAAAGAGATAAGGGGTATGGTATCACAATACTTTCGCGGCGGATAACGTTCATTGAACTATGGTGGATACAATGCACTCACATATGCATTGTTCGAATACGTTCAGACACACCCTCTCTTATCAATGACAAGATAAAAAGGCGCCGCGTTAAGCAGTGTACTAGTATTTGTATGTTCACAAGGTGAATTCCGTGGCATGGTTACGGCCCCGGAACGAACTTGTAAACACGAAATACGAATGCAAATGAACGTAGTCGAACAATATTGGGTGTATGTGTGGGTTATGGTGCAAGGGACAATGTGCAGTGGTCTTCATGCTGTTGTATTCTCTATATAATATCTTTTGTACAGTGTTTTGACTCGACAAATGACATACGAATTCGACCGACTCTTTCTCGCAGTATATTGAAGGGTGGCAGTCGTCGTGCCGCGTCCTGTTCGATATGGGACTCATAGCGACATATACGACGCGTGTAAAATACATTGTTTATTTACATGAACACGCGCTGTGCGACGATCACCGCGCTTTAATCAAAAACATTAGGTATTGAAAGTACATTTGTCGACTACATATTTACTAGCGGCCTCCAACAACAACTTGTTGCTTGTCGGATTTTTACGATGAGTTGGTGCTATTGACCAGAATGCTGTTCGAATGACGCACGCGAACGTGTAAACAAGTTGGCAATGTTGTGAAACATGCACCAAATGGGGGGGGGGGGATACCATACAACAACAAAAACTAACTACCGATAAATTTACAGTGCTTTATCTTTGTTCTGCCTTACTGTAGATTGTTCCGTCGTCTTAACCGGCGTAAGCCGCCACATCGTACGGTCGTACGTGGGGTCTAATCGTCCTGGGATCCAAACGGACAACTCACCTGGATTACACCATAGACCTTAGAATGACCTTAAAAAAATGGATCTTGTATTGAAATTAAAAATTCAATGTAATGAGCACAAGCACTGAAAGACGTGTTGCAAACTGCGCGGCCGAGTGATTGTGAGTGACGTCATACGGCTTCCTTAGCTTGATCATTTGTTTATAACTGTAGTAACCCACGTTGTACGCCGGATGTCGTGAAAGCCTTTATTTTATAATCAAAAGGCCTGTCCCTCTCTTTCTAAGGTCTATGATTACACCAACGGAAATAATGACATATTGTTTTGTAACTAATAAACATTTTTTCTTACTTTCGGCCTTGATCACGCGGCATTACCAGGTAGGTTGTTGACACGCTCTGAATGTTTGTTGTCGGTTGTTTTGTAAGAAATCATCTACTGCACTGCTGTGTAACTGAATAACGCATTCTTGTAACGGTGAAGGGCGATTCGTCCGATATTGCTTACTCGTCCCACGGGGTTACTTCAGACACAGTCCCTCTATCAGGACTGTGCTTCAGAGGAGATCGGGAGGAAATTGTCCGCCTTTTTTTTTATCAAACTTTGCTCGGTGCACAATCCTTCTGATAGAAAAAAGGACTCGGATTTGGTGGTACAGTACCTCACGTAATGCCTAATCAGCATGAATAAAACATGATACGAGGGCCAGAGCGCGGCTTCGCAAAATTACCACATCTTTGCCCTAGCGTCGTGGGGCGCCAGGGCGGTGTCATTCACTTATTTTCTATTCGTGAGAAATACTAGCCCACGACCTCACTCGTATCAATCAGCTCAGTGCGAACACGTAAAATAACCAGAAGTCGACGCTCCGATCTTTTGGAAAATCCGTTCCTGTGCGCCGGCTTCTACTGTTCATGGAGCTAAAATTATTATATTATTAATTCCATGTACTGTTCTACTTCACGGATTAGAAACATTCGGCGTGTACTAACGCGTCTTACATGTCGGCTTATAATGAGAAATGATAAATGCCGCTCATTTGCACATTTATTGAAGACCGGTTAATAATAACTACTTTTTTCGTTTCGAATAGTCAATGTGGTTTTGAGCATTTTACTTTGCAGTTTCAAAAGTTTGAGGAATCTCTCTTGTTCTTATTACCAAATATCTATATTTTACAGAAAAATCTGACAGCTTCAACTTGATCAGTGGTCGTAGTACCCTAGTGAGGGACGTAAAATGTGGGACCTCCTCACGCCGATCGCTAGCGCCAGGCATTTCGAATTTTCGATCAGAACAGAAATTGCCGATTGGTGACTCTGTTTATGATACACATAGGATGTCGGCCACTGGACCATCATGATTGCATTGACCTTTTGAAACAGTTACCAAAGTAAGCGTGAGACATCGGTCAAACGTGTTTTTTTTTTAGTCTAACCATGGCTCCATGGTCTAACTGTCTAGACCTCTTAGGCCCATGCTACGGTCACGGTGTTGTGCGTGAACGCTACTATTACCGCATGCATCTTTACTATTGTCTATGCAACTAGACACGTCATCGCTGTTTCTTTAAAATCATAAACAATGACCAACGGAAGTAAAACACATGCTAAGTTTATTTGAGTCTGCATGTACTTTACACTCAGTTTATATATTAGTCTGAGGATTACATAATTCCTCAATCACGTGGCACCGACCTAATTTACCAGTGCCACATATCCTGAGAGTTTATTTTTTCGTTTATTTCTATATCAAGTAGATTCATCCACTCCCCCAAGCATGCATGTACCAGCAACATGACCCAACTATGCGAGAAATGTTTGTCACAATAATTCTGATAACAGTATATGTATTAATAAGATATTATAGGCCTCTGAACCAAAAATACCTCATTTAAAGGGCGGTGGTCGTCGCGCCGCGCCCTGTTCGATAAGGTCCAATAGCAACGTACACAATGTGTAAAGATGAACAAAAGACACATAGAAATCGATGACATCATCTGTTCATATGAATAATTTTATCAGATTCTATAGTTGATTTCAGTCTCCAATATGGCCAGGGATACTTTATAGAGTTTTGCTGATCATGGAGGTAATAAGAATTCTTATTACCTCCATGAGTTGATAGTGTTGTCAATTAACCGAGAATCTTCCGCTACATATTTTGTTACTATTTGTGAACAACAAACAGCGGACGAGTACTTCATAATATCACCTCCATGATAATATTGACTATAAAACTACATGTAATATAGCGTACAAGCAGTCTGTGAAGAGATGCACGAAAAAACATTATGAATAAAATAGAAAAATTATATGCTAGTTGTTGTCTGCCACCATTGACCAAAACCCGGGGGAGAACACCGACTTACGGAGCTGGCATTCAAATGTGTGTATACCACTGACTCGTTGCTTGAGAGTTATGAATAGAAGTTACAATACTTGTGTTGGTCGGCGATGTGTTAGACACGCTCACCGCCCTGAGGGACGATGACACGCTGTATCCAGGATACACAACACACTGACCCAGAGTACATCTCGTTAAAATTTGATATGTACCCCAGTTTAATATATCAGACTATATTACATACATGCTTTCACATACAAGACAAATATCGACCAAGTAAAAAAAAAACTTACCGCTACCGCTAGATAGGACAGGCACCATCAGGGAATGTGATATAAAAGCAAGCAAAACGACGGCACCAGCATTCATGGTCGACTCTGTCTAGTTACAACTTTTTACGTGTGAGGCGACTGTGGAGATATAAGCAAGTAATTACAGAAATCAATAGTACGTCCGGTTATATAGTTTCACTGTAACTTTACGCAGCGTATCCCGCCGCACAAAATAGTTCCACGCGTGAGTATTGGTGATTCTGTATGTATATTTGCGTCGAATATCAGCGACGCCGACTGGCATTGTAACATCCGATTCATTGGACATTGTTAAACTCAACTAAGCGTGATCAGAAACAACCCAAATACGCATACTCGTAAAACAAAGAAACAGAAGTCCATATAAACTTATTGCAGATCTCATAAAATGCCTATAAATAGTATCTGTGTCTGGATATTCAAATATCACGCTGTTTTCACTTTCATAGCCGTAACTGATCAAAGATCTAAATATTGATTGATAATTCATGCATATGGCAAGGGGTTTATAAGTACGACTACGACATTTTAGACCAATGCACGTTATATAAACACTGCCGTATTATTCAGACTGGTAGCTGTTTGGCATTACCACGGTTACTAGAAGAACCGTGGCAATACTGACTCCCGAAATATCTATTTTTGACGTCACGACATGGCAGGTACTACATGTTTGACTTGAAACACCGCGATTTGCATTCGCTTGCCTCATTTGTTTGTCTACACGAGACTTTCACCGAGTGTGCTTACGGTCAGCGAAAGTGAAAGCCGATCTGTGATGTGAACGTACATGTAATTGTATACTAGTATACGAACAAGCAAAGTTTGCCGAATGAAACTGTCAGTGTAACTGAAAACGAGTCCGAGATAGTTTCGACTGACACGGTGTCGACTCTGGCTATAACACGTTGCTATCATATATAATCTAACCATGTCTATACAAATACAACTTGAAAACGGAGATGTGTGGAATCTCCTCGTTAATACTAAAATTGTGACATTTTCTTATTAATTCTAATATTCCAGTCTAAATTTCGGGGATTAATAAATTGAGAAAATCCGCATGCCGATTTTGTGTACTTCAAGATTTTTGTCATGGCCCTCAACCATTCAAACTGACTGAGAAATTCCCTTGATGTCATCAATCGCCTAACGTCTGATGTGGTAATTATGATGCAGTGGATCACGTTGGGAGGCATTCAACAGCGACAATTTAGACGTGAATACAATTATGAACGTCCCCTTACACAATAGATAAGGATGGGTCAGAATCAATAATTATATTCACGTACATATCTGTATAGTTTTATGTGAAAATGCGTATTGCTGGATATGTTTAAGTATAATAATCATAATAACTAATTATTGTAAAATTGGTTTGCCGATGTAACAAATTTGTACATTCGCTCAAGCCTCAACGAACAAGATTTTTTTCATGAGAAATTATAGAACTGACAGAAGGTTTTATATTTTGTTTTTGAAACTTAATTTGTTTTAGTATAGTTGCAAACTGTATAGGTTATACTTGGACATGCAATCCATGTGCATTTACATATGTTTAAATATATGTTATTTTTATTCTTGCATTTATGTTTTTGTAATACTAGTAACAGTTTGGTTTATAATATACTGAATATGAAAGTACCTCTTAATAGTTTAGTTATAACATTCTGCATATCTAATCGTGTCGTCATTTTTGACTCGAAATAATGTTTTCAAACCCCATTGTAATGAAGAAAAAACAAGAAACCCAACAACAGCAACGACTTACTCATATTGCTAACCCAGTTACCAGTTTGAGACGCACAAGATCATTACACTCAAATTACCATACCTGGCTATCGAATCAATACAATCTCCATTTCGTGAGGCACATAATGTATCTCAAGGTAAACACGTGACGTCCCAATGATTTCCACGCAAGGTGTTCATGGCGGCGTAACTACGGTTAACTCAAGGAATACGCAGTGACAGTGTAGCGTAACATAAAGGCATTCAGCATTATATTGCACTGATAATACTTGTAAACTGCAGTGCGTTCTCGAAAATGAAAACAATTTCATGCTTGAAAGCGAATACTATGTCATCAACGAGGGTGCATATAAATACATCATGATATATATACTCGGGGGGGGGGAATTTTATTCAGATTTTTGTTTGTCTCAGTGCGTATAAGACTCAGACTTGAATTTGTTGTTGCAACTAGGTCTTCTCTTCGATAATTCACATTTTTTTCAACCCGATTATGTTTCTTGTTATGATTTTATGAGGTTAATACAAGGATACTGCAAAGTACTAGTATACACGAAGCAGTAAAACTGTCACAAAGCCAAAATACATTCCACATCATTTGTGGGTTCCTGTTTACACACAGATGATACAATCCATACTTGTTTCAATTTGACTTACTAAATTAGAATTACACTTGTTTGGAGAGGTTTGATACATTCTTGTAATGTTATTACCGGGAAAGCTGTGACTTTATTACCCAAGGAAAAACTGGGAAAGTCTCAACGGCTCTTTTTTTTTTGTGAAGAAATATGTATTTTTGTGAAGGAATGTCTGTCTGCTGATATAAGGCGACACCCGGTTGCTAAGCAGAAGAGACACTGCCAAGGGAACACCTGCCTGACTGCCTGCCAAGAGCCTACGCCCCAAGTTTTGTGATTCCCTGTAGTAATTTTAGTAGGGACAAACTAGCTTGGTGGGATTATATACTAAAATACTTCAAGCAACCTTCAAATCTGGGTGTGTTTTCTGTCTCTGTGCATACTAGTAATTCTAATTGAATGGGTGTACATCAACGATCACTGTGCCTCCGCTGCTAAGTGAGTTTCCCCGACTCGAAGAATCCCACTCCCGATATCCTGACCACACAACGAATAATACACACCCGACTCCTCACTTCATTTACAATTGTGACAGATACATCACGAGAATGCCGAAATCCCAAACATTTAGAACACATTAAGCGAAATTCTTTGTGTGGGGTCCGGTCAAACCTTGGGGCAGCCATGTTTTTATTTATTATTAGAGAACGCTTACGCGCGTAATCGATCCATATTTAGAATTCACGTTTTCTCAGATGATAGGATGAAAATACCCAGCGCAATACTGCAAAATTACGGCACGCTGTAACTTATGGCGTTACAGTGAAAAATAAATAATAATTACTATTATTGCATTTATTTACTTGGTTTGTAATATACTTGATGAGAAAGTGTCTTAATAGTTTTGTTATTACATTCGGTTTATCTAATCGTCTCGTCCGTTTTGTTTCAAAATAATGATTCCAAACTCCATCTGAATTAAAGAAAAACAAGAAACCCAACAACGCACAACGTGTTTCCCATAGTGCTATTCCATGTTACCAGCTTCAGCTGAACATTAAATTTCAAAATTACCATACCTGGCTATCGAAACAATACAATGTCCATTTCGTAAAGCACAATGCCACTATCGAATCTCAAGGTAAACACGTGACATCCTACACAAAGTGTTCACCGCGTAACTAAGGCCAAAACTAACAACATCACTAAACTTCAAAATTACCATACCTGGATATCGAAACCACACAGTCCCCATTTCGCAAGGCACGTAATGGCACAATTGTATCTCAAGGTAAACACGTGACATTCCAATAATAATTCCCACGCAAGGTGTTCATGGTGGCGTAACTACGGTTAACTCAAGGAATACGCAGTGTAGCATAACACAAAGGCACTGATAATACTTTTATTACTTGTAATCTGCAGTGCGTTCTCGAAAATGAAGACAATTTAATTCTTGAAAGCGAATACTAAGTCATCAACGAGAGTGAATATAAATGCATATACATATATTTAACCAATACACGAGGCGGGGGAAACTTTTTTATTCAGTTTTTTGTTTGTCTCAGTGTGTTGTACAATTATAAAACTCAGACTAGACTGGCAAAGTCGGGAATTCTTTTTTGTTTTACAAAAAATATAATTAATTGTCAATTTAGCCTTTTTAACGTGTTCGCGAAAACTAGCGTGACTGCGAAAAAAATCTTTTGTTTCAAAATGATGATTCCAAACTCCATCTGAATAAAGAAAAAAAAACACACTATCTGACGTATCAGCAGTTTGATTGGTACCGACCAACAATCGTTGTGGAAGCGACAAATTGCATCGTTCTGTCAGCAGTGTCTTGGGTTTGGAGCACCGCGGAGGGCGCAACTCACGCGACCTCGTCGGGCTAGGTACATAATGGCATAATTGTATATCAAGGTAAACACGTGAAATCTTTCACAAGGTGTTTACGGCGTAACTAAGGCATGAAGTCATTAACCCCGGGTGCGTTCTAAAAGAAGAATATGTTCGAGACATGTATAAAGTAGTAAATAGTAATCAGTCAAGGCATGTCTAAGATATAGATCCGGACGCACGCATGCACAAACGCACGCATACACGCACGCACATACTCTGTGCGTCCCAGTTATCAGACGAACAGGAACCAACCGTCGTCGTAATAACATTATTTAGCATTCATAATCATAGATACCAAGCCATATCACGTTTAACAAAAGTAACGGGAAGTCCGAGGGAAAAAATAACTTCAAAAGCTTTTCTACAATGCTTATCATTAACTTCCGAGCCTCGGTGGATAGAATGTAACGAGCGTGTTAATCTTTTCACCATCGGACTTTTTTGAATCAATATTCGGTTTTCACTAAAAAAAAAATTGTCCAAATCCTCTGAAGGAAAGTGCAGTCTATAAACAGGACTATTTTGTGAATTTGTGATGAAAAGGGACAACCGGTAGTGAAAAGGTTAAGCGATAAGTTATATAAAAAGTGTTTTGAGACAAATGTATTTTATTCTAATAATTACCAACCACTTTCAATGTGCCAACTCTACATCCAAGTCGTCACCTTTTGATGTATGTTACATTTAAAAGGATGCAAATAGTTACTACAACTGTCTATTTTTTTTTACTTAATTTAATGTGGCAAGAAGACGCTTGCACAACACAGATATGTTTAGAATGAGAAATAGACGGATTGACCTTTGAAAATATTCGCCCATCCCGAGGTGCATGAATATTTAATTAGGTGTTAGAAATATTGATATTTT